TTTGCAGGCTGGTTTTCAGAAGACTTGCTTTGCTTGCTTGAGAAGAGCTCTCCTTCAATACAAGGTTTTCGATTTGCTTTGGTTGGTTATTCCTCTAACTTTGTTCTCAAAATGAGCCTTGATTTTTGGAAATGTAATTTTGCAAAAATCGTATGTGTGTGGTTCTTTGTGCATAAGGGCAGGGTCAGACAAGAGAAGGATATGCACATGCATCAGTGGTTTCCAGATGAAAGTCCTTTGTAAATAGTGCGGAAGTGTGTACATGTAAGTATGCATGGATGCAAATGTGCTTGTGGGGTTTTCAGACAGCAATTTTGCATGCTCAGGCTGGGACCTGAAAGTCCCATGGGCCACCATGGGCAATTGTAGAACCATAGAAAGGTTTGAGTTGGAAGGGACCTTCAAAGATCATCTAGTCCAGCCCCCTTGCTGTGGACAGGGACATCTTTCAATAGATCAGTTTGCTCAAAGCCCCAGCCAACTTGACCTTGAACATTTCCAATGATGGAGCATCCACAACTCCTCTGGGCAACCTCTTCCAGGGTCTCACCACCCTCAGTGTAAAAAATTTCTTCCTTATACCCCATCTTAACCTACCCTCTTTCAGTTTGAAACCATTACCCCTTGGCCTGTTGAAAGTGGGTAGGACTCTCCAGCCCTACTGAATGGAATATAGTCACCCTGATCTGGTGTAACATCAACTGAAGACCTCTGGAGTTGCCTAATCAACCCTATAAAAGGTAAAACCCACCTAACAAAAGGCAGCTGCAATTCTAATCTTACACTTAATGGTGTGCGGCTCGTGTTTTCCTCTGACTCAGGAGGAGAGTCTGGCTCCGAAGGGGACTTGGTGATGCAGAGGAGCCATGCTGTTGTTCTAGCGGCCTTTTCTGCTGAGAAGAACAAATAAGAGAAAACTTTGATTTTACTGTAGTCAGCAGAAGTGAGCGAGCGTAGAGAAGGAGCAGATCTGTGGAGTGACAGATCCCGTTTTACCTGGCCGCGCTGTGAACCGCAGTCCCAGTTCTCAAACGGTACATGGGATGGCCTGATTTAGCTTTATGTTAACAAAACTGAGGACAGGAATGGGAAGCATCACTGAAAAACAATTATCAGTGCATTTTTTTTATTTCTTCCTGCTATCTCCTCTTTTCCCCTTCTTAGAACATGAAAATTATTTTAATACTCAGTCTTGACTGCAAAAGGGAAAAAATTTGTGGAGTTTCCTGCCCTTCCAGAGTTCACACTCCTGCACTGCTTTATTGCAGAAGTTAGTCCTCATTAAGTCCAGAAGATCAGCACCCACTATCTGTCAGTGGAAACCCACCCTGGACTGTAACAGTGCTGAGATTTCACCCTAAAGTTCAATGCTACAAAACCTAAACACACAGAATTAGGGTTCTTCCCCACACACATTTTGAGTCCTACTCCCATTTTTGAGGTAGCTTTGTCTCATTTGTATAAAGCAGAAAGAAAATACTTTGAGATCCTGAGATGAAGGCAAATACAAGAACTAATAAACAACCAAAATATTGAAGTACCTAGATAAGTTGTGATGTTACCACTCCGAGGACTAAGCTGCAACTGACTTCTTATGAGTAAAAATAAATCACTTCTCTATTTCATTCAACATTGTTCCATGGAGTTACTGAACTAATTTTTCCTCCAAGCATGGTCACATTTTGGGTCAGCATGCCTAGACAACATGGGGCTCTGCCAACAGTTCCTGTGTAAAGTCCCTCTTTTTTTTTTTTTTTTGGAAACAAATCCAGTCATTCATAGAAATGAACTCCTGCATAATTAGAGCCAGTATTGCACATCATCTTTGCTTTCCATTTTTAGATGTTGTGTCTGGAGGACTATAACTTTTAAAGATGCCAACAAGCCACTTAGGAGCTCGATAGCCGTAATGGGAAAATCTGTGGAGCTGAATAGAAAATGATAAGCTTCATAAGGACTATTCTAAATCGTGTGGTAAAGAGCTCAGCCAGAAATTCAAAGCAAGAAGAGAAACAATACCCCCTTCTCATTTGATCTTCAGGGGTCTGTACTTCCTCTACGACCCTGCTGAAGTCCCAGTCCTACAGGCAGCTTCAAGGAGAGGGTGGTGTTCTTTACGCCAGAGTCCTCTGGACTCTGCTGGGTCCAGTTATTGGACTGTGGCATGAAGGGGTGCAGAGCACTGGTTTTACTCATATTGTATCATCCAGGGCATGTAGTCAACCATTTCTCTCTCTAGATTAGTTAAAACATTCAGTAGCCCCAGATACTGAAGCATGAAACTCTAGAAAACTGATCCTCTTCAGCATTTTTTAACCTCAAGTTCTCAATAAAGAGCTATTTTAAAATAATTAAGAAAGATTTGGAGGCTGGTTTTGTTTTTTTTTTTGACAGGCAGGAGGGAGTCATTGGCTTCAGAGCCAGCAGGTGTTGACAGGTGAGAGATCTCACAATAAGTCTTCTATTTCTCTGCACTCTGAGGCTTTCAGGTATGTCCTGTAATCTCAAAATTAGAGTGGGTGGCAGATGAGATAAAATTTGTTTCTTTGTTCAGAAAATGCAGGATGGATTTTCTTTGTTTGGGTCTTTAATCCAAACTGATGCTTTAATAACTGAAATTCCAGTAGTGGGCTTCTTTTTCTTTTTAAGTTAGAGAATAAATCAATAAGAAAACTGGCTTTGCAGTGGGAAATTACCCCAAAGATGTTCACAGCTGGACTGTCACAGCATGTGAGGTCGGTTAATAGGACCAGATGGGGTTATTTAGGACAAGTGTTTGACACTGCTTCACTGCAGGAGAAGGCTAAAGTCTGAACAAAGTCACTCTGTGAAGGACAGAATATAATACTCCCAGTTTTAAAAGTGAGAATCACAGAATGATTTGGGTTGGGAGAGACCTTTAAAGGTCACCTAGTCCAACTCCTGTGCAGTGAGCAAGGAAAACTTCAACTAGAGCAGGTTGCTCAGAGCCCCGTCCTACCTGGCCTTGAACACTCCATCGATGGGGCATCCACAGCTTCTCTGGGCAACCTGTGCCAATGTTTCACCACCCTCATTGTAAAATAAGTCTTCCTTATATCTGATCTAAATCTACCAATTTTTAGTTTAAAAGTGTTGCCCCTTTTTCTGTCACGACAGGCCCTGCTAAAAAGTCTCTCTGTCTTTCTTAGAAGCCCCCTTTAAGTGCTGGAAGGCTACAATAAGGACTCCCCGGAGCCTTCTCTTCTCCAGGCTGAACAGCCCCAACTCTCTCAGCCTGTCCTCACAGCAGAGCTGTTCCATCCCTCTGATCACTTGTTCTGGCCTCCTCTGGACCCGCTCCAACAGGCCCATGTCTTTGCTGTGCTGAGGGCTCCAGAGCTGGATCCAGGACTCCAGGTGGGGTCTCACCAGAGCAGAGTAGAGGGGCAGAATCCCCTCCCTTGACCTGCTGGCCACGCTGCTTTGGATGCAGCCCAGGATATTAGTTCTCTATTGAAATACCAAAGCACACGGTCAAGAGTTAAATACTGCTTTCAACTTATTCCTGCATTTTTCTGTGCAGAGTACAGGGGAACAAGGCTGAGTATATGAAGCCCAAGTTCAGGCTGCATGGCAGTTTCCCCATCAGTGAAATGGAGATGCTGTCTTGTTCTCCTGCCAGCAGGCCGAGGTTCTTTATATTAAAATATTCAAAAAGGAGTTTGTGATCTCCAGGAAATGGCAAGGTAGAGGTACCATAAAGATGCAAATTGTTGGTGTAATTTATTGTTAGAAGAATCCTGCTAGAAAGAGCCTGCCCTAACCACTGGATATCTTAACAGGTTGGCCTCACCTTTACCTTGTAAGGGTCCAGTAGCTTGATGGGCTGAGGGGCACATTTCAGGCAAAGAGGATTCATACACGTTTATGTCACTTCAGAGGGGATGGCAGTGGAGGCGGGTCCTCATAAAATCTTACCCTGTGACTCTGTTCCTGTGCGTGCATCCGCATGTGCGAGCATCAGCATCTTCAACGCTTTCCCACCAACCTAGAGGGTATTGAATTCACGATACGTGGTGCTGCATTTACATTCCTTGGAAGTTATGAGCGAGGAGTGCATTTGCTTCCTCTTGGACTTTTCTTATTCAGGCGTGTGGTGAGCTTTCTTGCTGCCAGCACAGCGAGGTGCTGCTGTGAAACGGGCACTTAGAGGACTTCAAAGCCTAGGAGCCAGCGTTTGGTTTTAGAAGAAGTGCCACACGATGCTATTAGCAGGTTGCTGGTAAGTGGGGCGTAACGCTGCCTGAGAGGCACCTCGGCAAGGTCTGCCTCTGACACACTACTTAGGGACCCTCTCTGGCACACTTGTTAAATAATGTCTTTAGACATCAAGTGATGTTGGTGAGACCACATTTGCTACCGTATAAGAGTACTTGTTCTAGGTGGTGTAACCACCACACTGGGAGCCAACTGGGCAATATTTGGCACTCCAAATGTTGTGCATGCTTTGCATGCACCTTGGAGATTTACAGGGCATGCTGTGTAAATATTTAGACAAAAATTGTTAGAGCATTTGTATTTGTTAGAATGTACATTGACTTTAATGGCTTGTGATCCCAGTGTTTCTGTGCATAATATGCAAGTGAACTGAATCCAACCATGATGTCACTGAAGACTTTAAAGATGATTTAAATTCCAGTGGTTACTGTCCATCTAAACTGTAACAAAGTTCCTTTAGCAGTACGTTGAAGTGAAAACTCTACTTCCCTGTTTTTCTTTGTTAATCCAACCTTCTGAACTAAAAGAAGATGCTGGCATGGAAAGGAGTAGCCAGTTGTACGTTGACGTTAGTTGCTGAATGTTTGCAGAGTTTCATTTCCATTGCCAGGCCAAGAAGAATCATGCAGGAATTTCATTAATTTGAATACCTGTACTCATACCTGTGCTCAGCCGTTAACTGTGTGCCAAAATCACTGTTGACACACGCTGCTGCTGTATCTACACCATAGTATCCCTTGGAGTCCTGCAGCCAGGGCAGCATGGCGGCGGCAGCTGCGGTAATGAACCCAGCTGAAAGAAATACTCCAGTGGCTGCCTTTCAGCACTTGGCAAGAAAATCCTTTTTATGTTAGTTTCAAGGTCGTCAGATATCATTATAGCCAAGTATTAAAAATTTCAAAGAAAGGAGGCAGTGTGTTTGATTTATAGAATAATTATCTAGCTTTAGCTCTAACTTGGCTTTGGCAATGGTTTTGCAAGCACTTGAAAATTAAATCCATTTTTTATGGCACTACAAGGTATTATCTCACAGCAAATGATAATTAAACACCTGTGAAATCAATTAGCCCTTTAAGCAGGGGGAAAAAAAAAAGTTTTCCAATTATGTTTTTGCACCTCCAAACTTTCTAATTCCAGAACCAGCACTTGCGGAGAGGGAGATGAACTGCCAGCCAGTAGCCTGTTAACCGGCATTAAGATCACCCCAAAGCATTGCACAGCCGTAAATCTGAAAGCAAGCAGTTCTCGGCGACGGCACCCTTCCAAGTAGGATGCGTTAGCCTTTCGAGCGCAGTCTTGGGCAGCTATCTATCTGACACACAGCTGAGCTGTCAGCTTTTCTACAAAGACAGTTACTCACTTGGTGTTTTCAATGCCAAGTTTTACTTGACAGTTTATTTAAAAGCCAACATACCTTAATGGAAACCAGGCAACGAGACGCTCCATGTGACAGAGTGGGTTTCTTTTCAGGCTCTCCAGCCAGTAGTTCAGAGCCATCTGCACTAAGCATTTGCACATGGAAAACTGGCCGATTGGTTAATAGCTGAGATGGAATATACTGGAAAACTGGGAAACGCTCCACCATTTAGCCTTGCGTTGTAGGTGTTTAATATCTGTCTTTGTTGTAGAACTTGAACTGATGCAGAGACTTTTGGAAGATGCAGTGTGTGTTCGTGGGCTTGCAGATCCGGGGAGGGAGCCCTGGACGTATTTGGTTAAGTGCCATCACAATTTTTGGCTCGGGAAAGAAAGAAACAGCTCAAGTCCCATCTGACATCTACAGCGGTATGTGCTGATACTCCTTGCCAAAGATGAGCTCCAGCATCTTCCAAAAGATGGGTTATGTGTGGCACTGTTCAAATACGTACTGCTGGGTTAAACCTGTTGTATTTGGTTTGGGTTCTGCTCCTATATTTCCATCTGAATTTTGATAGTCATAATGTCCAGCTGCTTTTTGGCAAGTGCCGCATCGCTGGAGAGGAGGGAGGCGGGTGAGGACGCTGGGGTTAGCGTTCCTAAGGTCTGTCTAGCTGCTGGATAAGCCACCAGTCATCTGTATCTCAGGTTTTCCATCTGTGAAATGGGAATGGTGATGGTATCCTGTATCAGTTTTCAGAGGATTAGATAAGAAAATATGTATGCTGCTTTGTGATTCCTACGTGACAGGTGACATATAGCTGGATAAAGTATGATAATCATTACATCTGGGTAGCTGGACGTATCTGCTGGTCTAAACAGCCAACATCTTTTTAGACCTCTCTTCAGGCAATGGTGCTGATGATGTGGCTTTGGAAAAAAATAGTTTATATTAAAATTCGTAGTGAGAATGTTTCCCAGGCTAGTTTATAATCTCTCAAGTGTAGTGACATGGGGAAATGCTTAAGCTGTAAGAAGGAATGTACGGCATGGCTGATTAGTCACTGCAGAGCCTCTGCAGCCTGCCCGGGCTCCTTGGGATAATGGTGAACCAGGAATCCCAAGCAGCCCTCTAATCCACGTGCTGATTGACAAGGTCGGCACATCAGAAGAAAAAAAAAGCGGAGTGGGGGAAGAAGACAGACGCAATGTGTTGGATCAAGAAGTTAAAATGGTAACAGCATTTGGCTGAGCAGCATTTCCCCTTCAGATGATTGCTCACACGGCGTTGCGGTGTTTTATACCTGCGTGATATATGGGGACGAACATGTTTTCCCAGCTCTGGGTGGTAACAGGGAGGAGATACTTCAGTTATGAAGTGTGAATAAGTTAGAATTGATTACAAACAGAGCTATTTGTTTATGCTGCCTAAAAAGGTATTAGCTGTGGACAAGGTGCACTTCATCATTATGGAAGGGAGCCTGAATGTTAATAAAACACACTGTTGGCTGTACAGAGGGATGACAGCTTTGGGTTAAATCTGTGGCTATTTTAGTTTTAAAGCCCGACCTGTCATTTTAAAGGCATATGCATTTTGGATTTTAACATGTTTGAATGATGCAGCTGAGGCCCAGGCCAAGCCGACCCTAAAATTGGCAGTAAAATGTCACCTCCGTGCAAGCGTGCGGAGTGATGGAACACAGGGATATGAGCAATAAGCATGTGCCCCCTCTCGCCAGCAGTCTTCTAACATGGAAACCAGGAGCTTTCTGGAAATAAATACCCTCCGAGCAAAGCAGAGGACTCCTCTCAGAGCTTTCCTACAGGGAATGCTCAGGAAGATGAACAGCCAGCAGTAAAGGAAAGTGCCAGAAGGAGCGCGACACTAAAGCAGCACAAGGAAGGCAGACGTGCCCGGCCGGCCGCCCGCGCCGTGCCCCACGGCGCTGGTCTTTGCTCCAGTTCCTCAGCTGTGAGTGGAGCCTGGAGAACCTCCGTAGCTGGGTAAAACCAGAGCGTCCGGATAGGCAGGTAACGCAGAGCTGTCCCCACAAGCTGGCAGCCCCAGGTTTCCGAAACCACAGCCATGCAAGCTGGGAGACCGTAACAAATCTCCCTGCCTTCTTCAGATGTTACCGGCTAATGGAAATAAGTCGTTCTGAAAACAGATGTAACTCCCGTTGCCAGGGGAGAGGAGGAAGAGGTGGCTCTGGAAGAACCTCTTCTAAAACACTTCACTATTTTCTCTGTGGCTTAAGGCCCCTCCACCAGTTGTGAGCGGGGTGATAGTACTTCATTGCCTCCCTGAGGTCTTGTTGAGATTAGTCAGTGAAGATGGTGGGGAAATGAAGCCCGTCATTGATGCGATACTGATGCCAGATCGGTACTTAATGTACAAGTGTCCTGCTGTAGCTGAGAGGGGCTTCCTGGATGTCTGCGCCAGCTCCCATTTCTCTCCTGGACAAGTGAAGGAGAAATTTCAAGTCCAGCAAAGATTTAACTCGGACACCTACCTTTAATCATGGAGATTATCTCACTGTTTTCACTGAAAGCATTTCAAGTCAGAGTGAAGGGACGTGCAGAGATGCTTTCAGGGGGGACGTGTATGCTTCCTATGTGGAAAAAAATGCCAACTGTACATAAGAAATCTTCCCACCCCAACAAAACACTGGCAAAACTCAAACCTTGCACTGCATGTGTGGTTCCTATGGGGCTGAATGGGAAGGAGCCTGAAACTGGGGGTTGCCCTGATGCCTTCTGTCCCCCATGGCCTGTGGCTTGGAGCTTCATTCACCAGGTGACGTTTCTGTGGCCAAGGTCTCCTCCAAATACTGCTGGCAGACTGAGAAAAATATGAAATAGTCTGTGCTGCAAACTCGACTCTAAAGTACTGTTTGGTACATGTAAACGATTTCCTCCGCAAGCGATGCTTCAAATTACAAAGCTATGCTTGCAGCTTGACAGAGATGTTTATGTATTTGTGGCTGGCTACACGCGTTGTGTGAAAGGCATTTCTGAATTCGTATTTAAACTTTCTGGGCTGTCTTCTCTCTTTCGGCTAAGGCAGGGTGCCCCCGTTGCTTTGCGTGCTACCCATGAACTAGTAGGTGTAAAACCAGCACCTTGTCTTTAAGGATTGCAGATAGATGCTTGATCCTGGAGTGGTCACTGAGGGGGATTAAACTGGAAGTCAGTCCCTTAGCAGTGTGCTCAAAGGTCATGTCGAGTCACCTGAAAACATTTGGGTTGAAATTGCAGAGAAATTTGTTCATGAGAAGAATCTCTGGTGCAATTCATTCGCTGCAGCAGCTCTCGGTGGATACTGCTTTACTCTGGGTTTGCTCTTGTTGTATTTGCAGGTTCTCCCTGAAGTGAGTGGAAATTTTGTGCCCATACATCAAGGTTAGGATGAGGCTCTCTGTGTATGTATGATGTAGATAAATTGCTTGATGTCCATGAACCGTGCTGTTCATGAGCTCAGTAATAAATCACGTTAGGCTTTAAAACACACAAATGGGAGTAAACCACTAACTGGTTTCCAGGTGGGAAATGGTCAACAAAAGCCTTTTCTTTTTTGTTTCTCTTTGTAAATCTATCCTAATATCAGAAAATTAGATATGAAAGGAAAAGTGCCCAATACAAGATGTCACTGGCATGTGGAGGACTCACTTGCGCTGGCCTCGTTCTCTGCTTTTCTTTGTGTTCTGGTTCTGCCATCGATGTTCCGTGGATATTGTTGCATTCCGGGGTATTAACAGGATTTTACATTTTTAGCTAGCTAATGATGGGGGACTTCTGACTCGTGTATTCTAGCCCTACGGGGTGTTCTATTTTTGGTATTTATTAACATTTTCCATCCTACAATATACAGTGAATGCGATAAGCTTCAGACCTCTCAGTATGTAAAAAAGGAATGCTTAAAAACGGCTTTTTTTTGGGGGGAGGGTATTCCAGTTTCCTAATATTTTCCCCGTGTGCTGTGTCACTGCTGGCGGGTGAGCTGGGGTATGGCTGCCAATCAATATCCCACACGGAGAAAAAGAAATTGCTGCCGCTTGGATGGAATATGCATATATGTATTTTAACCAAAGTTGAGATGCGATTAAAAAAAAAAAAAAGTACTTTGAAGTCTGTTTTGGAGTTTTAATTAATGCAACAAGGGTTTTTATTTTACTCTCAGTGGAGATAATCTTAATCCATTCACAGTGACCTTTTCTTGTGCAAATTAGCTATACACGCTTGTTTAAGCAAATGGGCCTTTGCAAGATGTCTTTTCCTAAAGACGGAGCTTATAATTGAAAATTGGCTTACTCCCATCTGTCTGGCCTGTGTGAGAATACAAACGTAGATCCGGACTTTTTTACATATAAAATACAGTCGTATACTTATGTATATACATACACATATACACACATACAAAAAAAGTTGCCCTGCCTGCAGGCTATGGTTACATTAGATTATTAGTGTTAGAAAATTTCAGTGACACAAGTTACTGTCAAAATAACATGTGTCCAGGACACTGGAGAACAGAGGGTGTTTAATCTGGATCCTTTTGTCTCAGAGGAGGTCGAGGCCATTCACAGTTCCATGGGTTTGCCAGGGGTACAATTAGCTAACAACAGGCTGGAAACTGTTAGGATTTGATGTGTGATTTTGGTGAATGGTTTTGAGGTGATTGATGGAATAGGAAAAAAACCCAAGAGTGTCTATAAGCACTTAAAGTTTTAATTTGGAGGAACAGGGATCATTGCAGCCATGTAGTTAATTGCCAAACTTCAGCAGTTTATCACTCTCACCACACTTGTCAATAACCACCAAGTGAGTCACAGTAAACCCCTGTTCCTTTTTAGTGCCTTCTTGATAAGGGAAGGTTTCTTTGGCACAGTTTGAATATTTTTTGCTTTGTACAAACCTCTTGCCAGAAATGAACACAGTTGTGCATGACTTCGACTAAATCTGAGTAGAAATCAGGGTCACAGAAGTGCCGCAACAATGCTTTGGTTATCAAAATATTTAGGACAAGTTTGTTGTTAGAACTCATGCACACCTGGTTATATAGAAATGGCTGATTATTGCAAAGGCAAAATTATTTCCTTCCTTCTCGGTTTCTTTACCACTCTCCCCAGCTCTCTCCCATGGTGGTTGCTCCTGAGGATGAACAAAAAGGAGCCGGGGAGATGGCTGGCACACGCATGCGCGGAGGGAGCTAGTTAACCTGGTGGTGAGCAGTCTTGGTCGGGGATGATTTTATCCAGATGTGTCTCAACAGCTGTTTGCATTTTCATGCTCAGTTACTCTAGAACTCACCACTAATTGAATTTTCTCTTTTCTCCCCTGTTCTTGTTAGGTATGATTACCGTGAAATGCTGCACAATGCCACTTTCTGTCTGGTTCCCCGTGGCCGCAGGCTTGGCTCTTTCAGGTTTCTGGAAGCCTTGCAGGTAAGAGCTGCAGTTTAAAGCATGGACTACGCTGGCTGCAACTCAGCATGCAATAGCAACGAGGTTGGGAGGAGGGAAATGTGTTTCATTTCCCTAGTGGACAGTAATCCACTTTGCAAAAGCCTCTATTCATACTTCTGGAGCAATTGGCAGCTTCTTCCCAGGAGGGGCTGAGCACTGAGCTCATCTGAAGGTTGAATTGTGTTACCTCCAGGAAAAGGGTTTCCCCGGATGTGGTGAGGCTGAGAGGTTGGACCGGTTTAGAGCAGTATTTTAGCAAGCTGTGAGACTTCCCGTGGGAGACACTGGCCTCTACAAGTAAGCCCCGGGGCAGTAAAAATAACTTTTTTGTTTTCACTTAGCCAAAACAGACCTGCTTATGCATTGCCTGTCCTGAGATGGTGCTTGCTGAACATGCAGGAGGTGGCCTGGAGGTTGCAAAGCCCCAGATGGAAGCTTCACATGAAGGTGGATCTCATAGGCTGATCTCAGGGAGCTCACAGCATGTCTGGGACAGCACCTGAATCCCCTTCACTGTTTAAAAATTTTTTTGGTTAGTGGTCTCCCTTTTTTGCTGTTATCCAGCAGCAGAGAGCAATGCAAAGGGTCTCCTGAGTCACTGCAGCAGCAGGGCTTGGCAGCACAGGGATCGAGCCTGACACTGACCTACTCTGGCTGCAGCCGGCATGACCTTTTTTTGGCAAGCATCAGCTCAACGCTGGGGTCCTGGATCTTCAGTCAGCCATACAGAGCATCTTGGGAGATGCTGCAGCTCCCCTCTCTGACTGGCATCTGGATTTCCATAGGGGCTGGGAAGGGGAGGCTGAGGTGCTTCTTGGTGTCAGTGAGATCGCAAATGAAGGTCCTGGCCCGAGGTGTCCTTTTGCCATTTGGGAAGTATCCCAGCATTGGCAGTAAAGCTGTTAATGAATAGCATCACACCACTTTTCTTCATCAAGCACAAAATGTCCGAGCCACTATTCAAGAGTGCTGTTTACTGCAATGCAGAGCAGGACTCAGGTACCTAAGTGTAGGTGTATAATGTCATTTTAGAAGCCCGGGCGTACCCTTCTGGCTTTCTGCTGCTTCTCCAGAAGGTCTCCAGTAGATCCTGTGTCATGTCTGCCAGCCTTTGATGGGTTTCTTGGACACCCTCGCGCATCCCAAATGCACTGGTTTAACCACTGAACCCCACACCTACTGTCACATTTGACATCCAAGTTCTGGACTGTGACTTACCTCTTTGCTCCTGCTCAGGAGTAGATTAATAGCCTGCAAAGTGCTGTTCCTGCTCCAGCCTCTTCGGAGGAAGAAGTGGGACTGGCTTATTTGGGATGACAAGTCACTTCAGATCCTCCTGAAGAGCACTGCTCAGCTATTCTGTCATCTGGGACACCAGTCATGCAGCTTCTGTTAGATACATCATCTCAGGAGAAGAAAGCAGGGAGCGGACCTCACTGTACAGAACTTGGAGGCTCCAGGTCGATGGTGATAAGCTGCAGGCACTGAGGATTTTCCTAGCAGGCTAGCAGCAGTATTCACTGATTATGATGAATTCCCAATTTCTGTCTGGCTCCAGGACATGCTGAAAGATGTAGTCCGCATTAGTGGAATGTTTTAAACATGAAAACACATTGCTAAGTATTTTCTGGTTGGCTTTTTTCGTGCACTAATGTCATTTCCTTACAGAAGATCACAGCTCTTTACACATTATAAGCACTACTGTCATGCAGAGGCTTGACCAGTCTAAGATCCTGTGTGTAATACATGTTACCAAGGAAGATACAGCAGTCTGAAAGGTTCCCCTTTATACCACCTTTTGGTCTGAACCCTAGTCTGGACCAAATTCAGAGCACTTAAGCTTGGCTTAATCCAAAAGAAGCTGAACCAGAGCACAGGCTCGATGCAGATCCTCTGGTAATAGGTTCTTTCATCACATCAGGAGGTTTTTGGTTTGGATCATATGTTGTGATCCAGCAGACCAGAACGTCGTGGCAATTGTTTGTTTATGGAAATACTGCCCTATTTACTGAATATGCACACGCTTGCTGTCTCTGCAGAGGAACTCGCGCACCTCGTAAAAGATTAAATAATTTAGACAGATCATACTGGTATGAAATAGATACTAAATGTGTACGCTTTTTGTTTGTTTTAAGATAGAAAGCAATTCTTATTTCTGTAGACAGGTGATGACAGATGAGTTGTGTTTGTGCAGTTGCCTCTGTTTGGAGAGCTGATACCAAACAGGATAGGGAAATCACTCCTCCTTAGTGGAAAATGTGCTCTGGAATCATAGAAACATAGACTAGTTTGGGTTGGAAGGAACCTTTAAAGGTCATCTAGTCCAATCCCCTTGCAATGAGCAGGGACATCTTCAACTAGATCAGGTTGCTCAGAGCCCCGTCCAACCTGACCTGGAATGTTGCCAGGGATGGGGCATCTACCACCTCTCTGGGAAACCTGGGCCAGGGTTTCACCACCCTCATTGTCAAAAATTTCTTCCTTAAATCTAGTTGAAACCTGCCCTCTTTTAGTTTAAAACCATCACCCCTTGTCCTATCGCTACAGGCCCTGCTAAAAAGTCTGTCCCCATCTTTCTTACAAGCCCCCTGTAAGTACTGGAAGGCTGCAGTAAGGTCTCCCCAGAGCCTTGTCTTCTGCAGGCTGAACAACTCCAACTCTCTCAGCCTGTCCTCACAGCAGAGGTGTTCCATCCGTCTGATCATTTTTGTGGCCTCCTCTGGACCCACTCCAACAGGTCCATGTCTTTCCTGTGCTGAGGGCTCCAGAGCTGGATGCAGGACTCCAGGTGGGGTCTCACCAGAGCAGAGCAGAGGGGCAGAATCCCCTCCCTCGACCTGCTGGCCACGCTGCTTTGGATGCAGCCCCGGAGACGGTTGGTCTTCAGGGCTGCGAGTGCCCATTGCTGGCTCATGTCCAGCTTTTCATCCCCCAGCACCCCCAAGTCCTTCTCAGCAGGGCTGCTCTGAATCCCTTCATCCCCCAGCCTGTACTGGTACTGGGGGTTGCCTTGACCCAGGTGCAGGACCCTGCACTTGGCCTTGTTGAACCTCATGATGTTCACACAGGCCCATTCCTTGAGCTTGTCCAAGTCCCTCTGGATGGCATCCCGTCCCTCAGGTGTGTCAACCACAGCACTCAGCTTGGTGTCATCTGCAAACTTGCTGAGGGTGCGCTCCATCCCACCAGAATTAAATATGACCTGTGTTTTCTGCAGGGTTGTCTTGCATCATATTATAAAACTTGAGGGAGTTTGCTCCCTGCTGAATGGCTCACAAAGCAGCGAGGGAGGCCATCATTTTGTATTAAATTCTCCAGTGTTACATCCGCAGCATTTTAACAGTTCTGCCCTTGTCTGGCAGCGTAAGCACCAGATTTCAAATGTCACTCTCCATGCAAACCCCACCTTTCAGTGAGTAGGAATAAGCACAAAATGGAAAACCATAAACATATGGGCTGCTCTCCTGTGGCCTCTAGCTTCTGGTATCCTTTGCCGTGTGGCCTCTCCTTCTGAGCTTGTGCAGAAAGCAACGGCCATGGTGTTGGTGCAAACCTCAAGGCTTGCCCTAGTCTTTGGGTACCCGCTAACGACTGCCATGCCTTCGTCTGCGTGCAGGCCGCCTGCGTCCCGGTTATGCTCAGCAACGGATGGGAGTTGCCGTTCTCGGAAGTGATTGATTGGAACCAAGCCGCCGTCATAGGCGATGAGAGATTGTTATTACAGGTAAGAAAAAGACCGCGGCCTTCAGTGGATCAGTTGATTATTGCTGCCGCCATCTAAATGGACAGGGAAGATGAATCCAAAAGGTCAAGGCTGTAAAAGAATTTTTATCATGAAGGGATTGTCTGTGTCACACCGGCTATGAACTCATTTAATATGACATCATTCATTTTTTGGCCTGAAGGTCATTGCAGCCACCAGGCCACATTCTTACACGCTTTAGACATTTATTTTTCCTAAGAGCATGAAATCTCTTCTGGTGTGGAGCACCTGGATGCCTCTCTGAGGCAGAGCTGTCCTGGAACGGGTGCTGTGATAAGAGAGAAAACATTTGAAGGCAGGTTCTGCTCATTTCCTTCAGAAATGGCTTATCCTCAGGTGTCCCTCCAGCGCTGTGCGTCTGGCTGGCAGGTGCTGAAGGGACTCCTCAGGAAAGCAGGTATTTCCTCAGGCAGGGGTTACCACTTCACAGTTTTGCAGGAAGCAGAATCTGTCCCTTTCCTGATGCCTGGGACACGTAATACCGCTTTCTGAAGCAGCGTTCATGTCGCTTATTGGTAATCTCCTTGAGATCATGGAACAAAAGTGGGCTGAGAAATTAGAAATTCCCCGCTACCTTCAGCACCTACTTTGGTTTTAAATTCGCTGGATTTTTTTTTCCTGTTTCCCTAGTGGGTTTTATAGGCTAAATACGTTCTCTAAAGTATGTGGAGAAGTTGATGTTAGGAGAAATTATTGCAAAATTGGTTTCCCCAAAGTAGCATTTGATGAAATGCTGTTGCCCAGCATGAAGCTGAGATCCACAAGATCTGAAACGACCACAAAGTAGCCACTAACAGGGTTTTTTTAATGGTTGAATTTAACTCAGCATTTCCAAAGTGGCAAGCTATGGTCATCCACAGAGAGAAGCCTTCAAAGGCATAGGCATCTTGGCACCCCAAGAATGAAATACCTTTGAAAATCTCATTAGATGCCTATTTGCTTGTCTGAAGAAGTAAATATTTGTGAAGAGGTGGCCTAGCAAGCCTTGCAAAGTGCTGCCTGTTCTCCTATGTGTGATACAAGCTGCAAATATACAAGGGCCATTTGATTTTTGCTTCTGTGGACAGCACATTTTTCTGAGGAAAATTATTTCTCTCTTTAAATAATACCAATTTGCTGATCTTCATGCTTTCCGGTAACATGCCATTCGTTCTCTTCACAGCTGCTTCCATATTGAACAGCTACTGCACCGTTATTAACAGTGTTTTTAAAGAGCTGGCAGAGGGCCTGAATGTCTGCTCTGGGAAGCGTTTTTGTTATGTTACAGTTTTTCATTTCCTGTTTGAGAGCAGCTCGGCTGTTTTTATTTGCATATTCTCCCCATCATAGCACTGGGAGAGCTTAATCCAGCCTTTCTGCATTTATTTGCGCAGGGTGGTTTTTCCCTTCCCCCTACTTATTAATGAAATGACCTTTTATTAAGACGTCATCCCCTTCTAATAAGTCCAGTGTAATCCTGCCAGATTAGTATTAATACATCATTTTTCCCACTTGTCTTTCTGGACAAGTAGATTAATAACTAATAGGCAAACGCAGTTAAAATGGGAGCTCTGATTTTTCTTTCCAGCTGTTGTAACGCAGCGGACACCGAGGCTTTTTTTTAACCTTGGCGCTGTGTTTGCAGGCACTCGCAAGCATGGTGTGGTCTGTAAAATCACAGCTTCTGGCAGGAACCTTCACAGTCAGAGCAGCCTTCCCTTTCTAAAGGCGTAGTTGGGAATGTGTATTGGTTTTATTTGTTGCTCACGCACGTACGCACACACGCATATTTGCACACACACGCAAGGTTGCGCATAATGCAATTAAATGTTTTAAGTTTATAGAAAAAATGCCATAACACCGCTGTGAAGTGACTTTGATCTTGTATTTGCTGCTGATAATGATCCTGGGTGTCAGTAATACACACCTGTGTAGAGCCAGTATAGGTCATGCTCATTATCCCTCTGCTTATTGGAATTTACTGGAAAAGTAAGGAAAAGAAAGAATATGCACCCAAAAAGATGAAACTTGCTGCAGTTATTTAGTGCGTCACGTTACTATTTCTGACATGATCGGTTAGAAAAACATATACTAATACATGTTTTTAGCTTCTATCTTTCATACTAGTTTTGCAGGGAATATTTTACCTAAAGACCTATATTTTACCCAAAGGGCCTATAGCGAAGGAACATGAAGTCCTAACTTCGACAGTCTGACCATTTTCTTCTGTTCCACCTTGCTGTAGTGCTAAGTCTCAATAAGCTCAAATTCTGTAGATGAAGGTCTAAGAGATGAAGGGTTTAGAGAGTAGAGATGTCCCATCTGACACTGCACCCTGTGGAGCCATGGTCCTTTTGGACACAGTGTCCAGACCTGGATGCAAACTATGCAGTAAAGAATTTACTAATTCTTGTGGAAATTTTTTGCATATAAATTCTTAAAATCTCAAATTTTGTTCAGGAAAATGTTTCACGTGAAATCATTTGATTTGGGAGCATGTGAAAGCAACTAATGATCACTGCCACCTCTCAGAATATTTTAGGAATAAGCAAAGTGTGTTCTGGTCAGGAAAGGGTGGGATGTGGTGGGATGCAGGTAAACTTCAGATTAAGCTGGGATGTGCAAAATGCAACACACAGCCCAGGTATATGCTCTTACAACACGACTTAGGTAAAAGATTCATGAGAAATGGTGGGAGTCTGAGAATGAGGTGGCCTAATTTGAAATCCCCAAAAAGTAGGCGCAAAAGCACAACTCTTCATTCCTAGAAAGAAATGAACACAAATCAGCAACGTATCCTAGATGCCTTTCTGATGCTGTGAGTAGCCCTTGTAACTGAAGCAAATTGCAGTTAAATTCCCTTCATAATGTCAATTTGCATTGTCAAAGTGGTGTACTGGAGGCCTTGGTCGAGATCCTAAGAAGTTAAGCAACGACACATATGTACATTAGTTTCCTTCCAATGCAGATGTGGGGATGGAGAAAGACATAGAAGGAAGCCCTCCTCTTCTGATCCAGTGAGAAGTTACTTTTTTAAATGGCAAAGCACTGCAGCAGGACAATTTTTGTTTTATTTGTAAGGCAACTTATACCAGAATTAATGTTTTGATTTAATGGAGAGGAGGAAAAGGAAGCCGTGTTTTCCCTTGTGAATAACAGGTGGTGTGAGAGACATTATTCTTTCCACCCACAGTAATTAGTAAAATGCAGTGTGATCCACAGGCTCCGAAAAAGTGGAGTCTTACTTAAGATGTTGCTATGTTTTCCTTAGGGCACTTAGTGTTGCCATGCTGCGGTAAATGCAATTCCAGATCTCTTTAATATACTTTGAGGGTGGGGATTGTTGTTGGACGCTCAAGACCTGCAGGTACTAGTTTGTTAAAATACCAGTCCATGAAAAGCTTTGTGCATGAGGGATGTATGGAGGAGCTCCTCACGGCGCCACGCCACAGCGCTGGCAAGGGGGAGCTTTTCTTACCATAAAATAACCAAAAGCTAAAAGAAAGCAGATGAAAAAAAAATTCATATATTCAGTACCAAAGGTTATAAAGGGTTGTGTCTCATTCGTTTTACATCAAGGCTTTAACTGTTGACACACGCATCTCTGTCGGACAGGAGCGCTGAAGGTGTGCAGCTTGCTAATAGAGGAGAGGGCTTGTCAGCAGCGTATTAATTTGATGAGATTGCGTTGTTTTCTGAAGCTTCTGACTATATTACATCTTGTATTACAGATTCCTTCTACAATCAGGTCTATCCATCAGGATAAAATCCTAGCACTTAGACAGCAGACACAGTTCTTGTGGGAGGCTTATTTTTCTTCAGTTGAGAAGATTGTATTGACTACACTAGAGGTGAGTAAAAATTGTCTGGGGCCTTGGCCAAGCAGTGAGGTTTCCATACCTGTCCAGCTGCTCCTGTCCTCAGCCAGTGTCAGACCTTGGTTTTCATGACATGCAATTGGTCACTGGGAAAAAAGCTTGGCATCTTGATAAGTTTTTTTCCCTAAGGAAATACTTTCTTCATTATTGGAATCCACGTTAGAAAACTGACACAGTGAAATGGGAGCTACCCGGCACATGCAAAAGTTGTCGTGTGTGATCTTGCCTTCACAAGGCTTTATGGTTTATGAATCACGATCCTTGTCATTGGCGGTGAATGTGTTTCTTTAAGAAACCTTTCTGGAATTAATTTTGGAAAAAATATTACTGTAAACCTCTTCTTTGACCATTCCTTAATATTTTGATGTCTTGTGCTGGGGCTGTTGGTCTGGCTAAAGGAAAGAGGGGGGCTTGTAAGTCATGGTGTCTTATCTTCATACACAGGATAAGTGAAAGGCCTGATCATCCTTACAAAATATTAATAAATAATCATAATTAGACTGCTATTAAACAGGGAGACAGATGATCTCAAATCTGGAGAGAATCCTTTCTGAATTCAGAGACAGAGGAGACATGAAAGGGTCTTTAGAAGTAGGGCCCAGGCTACAATTTCAAAAGCAGGTTTCTCTTCTAATTGTTTTGCAATTTTGCACATAAATTTTTTACACACTTTTACCACTGAAAGTGGCTCACTTTGTAGGTTCAAATGCATTCATCTTACGCTAACGCTTCTGCAATTGCATTCATCCTTGTGCACAGTTGTAAAGCTCCACATTTCCCGCTGTGCCTGCTTTCCCCTGAAAACTGCAAATGAGCGCTGCTGCCTGCAGTACAGGTTGCCCGTGGCTGATCCACCTCCAGCTGCTGCAAGGCAGTCCCTTAGGTTTTTCTATGCCAGTGAAGAAAAACCAGCCAGGGAACGTTTCCGGAGCCCCTGGCATAGCCGTCGTTGCAACGCTCTCCTCCCCCGGAAGAGCATGTCTTCATCTGTGCTGCCTGTTGGGAGCTGCTCGGCATCCTCCAGCTCCCCATAGGCGCTGATGAGGGAGTGATCATTATCACAGCCCACACCAGGACCTAGCAAAGCTGGAAGACCATGTGCCGGCGCTCACAGCCTACTCTGCCCTTACAAAAGTACCCATAAGGACAATCGGGCTGCCTCACGTACCGTCTGCCCCTTCCCTACGTTAGGGATTGCTAAGAGGAGAGGGACGCACGGCTCTGCTCGCTGCCCCTCTCCTGCCTGTGCCGGGGCTGCCCTCGAGGGAGCGTCGCCTGCAGCCCCCGCAGCCGTGGTGTCCGTCACACCGAGCTCCGGCGCTCGCAGATGTGTCGTTAAGCGCTGCTCTGGGACACGTCGACCCATGTGGCCGCAGGTGCCCAGGGAACGGCAAAACCCGTAATAAAGCTGAAGCAGCTGGGCAACCACCAAGCTGGAGTTCCTGCTCAGAGGTGAAAAACTAAAGAGAAAACAAAAATCTTCCCGGAAGGTTTAATTTAATGAAATCCAGTAATGTATGCCTGGTCTTGCAGGGTTTTTTTCATTTGTTTGTGAGGGTGGTTTTGGTTTGAGGGGTTTTTTGCTTGTTTTTTAATTCAGGACTGTCAGAAATTTTTGAGAAAGCTGAGAGGGATTCTTTTCTTATGAACAGATACTCGTTTCACATTTCAACCTGCCTAAGTGAAGTCCTGAGTTAAGTTTCCTTAGAAAAGGAATAAGAGAGTTGAGAGTGATTTTTGGTGTCCAAAATTTGCAAGCAGTTTATCCTCCTCTTAAAAACTGATGCCTGGAAGTAAATTCCTAACAGGTGTATTTTTTTCTGGTGGATGTTATCTATTTTCTGTTGTAACGCTGTTGTGTCAGAGTGCTCTGATGATGCTAGATATCATCAGAGTAATCACCCGCCTGCTGACTGCAGTGCTGGTACATGTCCACCCGTGCTATCGGTACAGAAAAAGTCTTCACAAACTCAGGTGTCTGCAAGGACATCACAGCTCTCCTCTGCCCTTTATCCTGGACACCTCTGAAAACATTAAGTCACGTTTTAAGATCCGTGATCTTCTCACAGCATTTGATGGCCTAAGCCAAACAGCTCATAGTCCAAATTGAGAGGTTTGAATCATCTGGCCAGCAACCCCATATTGCAGGCACAGAGGAACTGCCCAGTGCCGTGGACACGGTGTGGGTTAGGGAACGATGTTCATGAGTGTCTGCTGCAGGCTGGTGAGTGGGAGCACTGGCAGCGCAGCAGTGGGCTGCTGCAAACGCCATCCGGACGCATGCTCCAGTATATCTGCACTTTTTCAGCTTGGTCTTCTCTGAAAACAAACCCAAAACATCCCTAAATCCCTGTGCGGCATGCTCAGTCCTCCGCTCGGGAAGAGGAGGGGAGAGAGGCAGCACAAAGTACAGACAAGAAGTGTTTGATGCTTGGCCGGGGCATGTTGAGAAGCAGCAATGATTAAGGCAATATGTGAACTTTTTGAAGTGTGAGGACGAGGGAGACAAAAATATTGGGCTATTAATGAATTCAGAAAAGAAAAGGGAGCTCTTTCCAGAGATCCTAACCCCTTCCTTCTCTTATTAAACTTCCTGTCATGCCTCATCATTGGAGAGAGCATGTAGCTGCTGTCTGTCTCTGCAATATGTGCAACGCTATACACTCTGCATTTTAATTGATTGGTCCTCCATGTTATCCTTTTTTTATACTTTTCTGTTCTCTTTCTGCCAAGTTGACTTTTCTCCTCTCCATCATGACAGACAGCTAAGTTTCTTATGTAGACTAAGAGTGCGATAAATTAATCCTCCATTTGTTAACGGTGATAAATCACCGAGGCCAGCTCCCCAGCCTCGTGCGGAACCGCGCTGGTGAGTCTGGTGTGCCTGACACGCACCAAAGGCTGCGTGTGCTGCGTGGCACCGGGGCCCTGCTCCGTCTTAGCGCCGCGCTCGCTCCGCGTGCGCTGAGGCGGCGTTGAATGCGAGCCATGTGTTTTCCCTGCAGCCTTGTTGGCTACCGGCGCAGTGGAAAACTCCACCGTCTGTGAAAACCTCCTGACCATGTAAATTCACAGACTTCTCCTTATCTGATTATGCCCCGTTTCTGAGAAGGCAGGAGGAGGGAGCTGTAATATTTAGGCTTTGTGGTAAACACTCAAAAATATGTACTGCCTAGGTTCTGTCTTTGTTTAGTGGCATAACTTGCAGATGGAGAAACAGCAGTCACCGTCTTTTTTTTCCTCTCCCCACTACCATGCAGGAGATCTGACAACTGGTACACCTAACTTTCCAAACAGAAATATTCAGATCCGCTCTTATCAGTGATGGAAATACAGTCCTAAGTCTGTTATGTTGAGACCAAGGAAAAAGATAAATTAACTTACTCCTGTGAGCTAATTGCTGCATATTAGCTATGGTAATTGGCTGTAGGCAAAATTCAGACAAGCATGCAAACACCTAACATTTGCCCCAGTTTAGCAGTACATATATTGCCACCAGCAGTGGATTGTCTAGCACAATGTGACTGCTGTTTTAATGTTTTTTCGTCATGGCAATCAAAAATTCCAGGAAAACCACTGCTTGTGGCAGCACTTATTCATGTTCTGTTTTGACCAAATGTCCATGAACTCGGCTGCTTACACAGATTTTAGCTTGTTTATACTCCAGCAGCTGCTTTTGTTCAGCTTATGTTGGGTCTTTTTGCATGCTTTTGGGTTTCTTGTGCTGTGGGTATATACCTTCTTCAGTTCCGTAGATTTTAAGGCCAGAATGAATGATGAGGGATCAGATTTAGTCCAACTTCAGAGCCATAGAGTTTCACCCAGATATGCCTATGTTAAGGCCAGAGACAGTAGGTTAAGAGAACCAACATGGTCTTGGCACTTGAGCCAACACCTGCCAACCTCTGATGCTCTGGGGGGAAGGTAAATCTGTAAGAACGTGTGGCCCAACCGCAGATTGTGCTTAGGAAGTTGCATCTTACTTGGAGGCTGAGTTTGCCCAGTTACAGCTTCCCACTGCTGAATCTTGTTAGGCCTTTGCAGCAAGTTTGAAAAAGCTCCCACTGGTGTAAGAACCACTATGGTTCTTGCATACAGGCGTCTGATATGAAGTAACTGTAATTAGTTTTATATGTACAGCCTTGTATCTTTTCTTTGGTGGCTTGTAGTATCCTAGATGATAAAGTAGATGACCTAGCAATCTGTTCTGACCTAAAAAAATCTAGGAATCCATCTTTGTGGCCCTCTACGGAGACAGAAAGTAGTTGCCAGAAGATCTTTTTCTGTTTCATCCAACAAGGAGCTGTTGCAGAACTGAGATGTGGAATCAGTAATGTATCTGAATGCTAATATCCCTTTATAATTAAGCAAAAGTGAATAATTAGTGCAGCCTGATTTGCTGAAAGTCTTTGTGGTTTTGAATGCTCTCATTATCTCAAAATAATACCTAGCTTTGTAATGTCATCCTCAAACAATTATCTTCTGTGAGTTCTGGATAGTAAAACTGACAATGAACTAATCAGGCTTACAACTGCTAAGATACATTAAAAAGTATTTTGCTTGAAACACAAAATGCAACAAATTGCAAGGTCCCCATGTCCAGAGAGACTAATGAGGTGCTCTGAAACCTATTGCACACAGCCTGGGCTGCTGAAGTGGTGTCAAAGTATGCAGGTTCTGTGTCATTTTAAGAGAGATTAAGCAGGAATGTCTAGTAATTTGTATGCCTCAGCTTTTTGCAAAATGGGTGATGATTCCAGTCAGCTGGAGTCCCTGAAGCTTCTACCAGTGACTATTATGGTCTATTTAAAAGTCATCGCCTCTCTTGTTTTCCAGATTATTCAGGACAGAATATTTAAGCACATATCACGTAACAGCTTAATATGGAACAAACATCCTGGAGGGTTATTTGTACTGCCACAGTATTCCTCATATCTGGGAGATTTTCCTTACTACTATGCTAATCTCGGTGAGTGAATCCTTGCTATAATTTAGTGGTATCTGGAATTTCTAGTGGAAATTTGGAATTTGATCCTTGAGTAGCATGTGCCAAGTGACTTACCATTCATTTCTGGTTAATGATGCCTTTTGTTTGTCCTGTCTCACTCTTCCATGCCCACTGTAGACTGGAATGTCTCTGACTCATCAACATGCATCATGTGCCTCTCGCTTGCAAAGATTGTTTTAAAAAAAAAAATCTATGTCCCTTTATACTTTTCCATTGCCAGTAATTAATGCCCGAGTTGCTGACCCATTCATGGCCCGAGGGGACATAAAAGGAATAGCTTTTTGCTTTCTTTGTTTATTTGAGCTTGGCAAATTGGAAAAGTGGTAATTTACCCGTGACACTTGTTATTGGAGTGCATAGTTGGTATGGATTTAGTCTCCATACTATGTGTCTTCATACGGATCCCACTAGAAGGAATGAATAGGACCTAGGTTCATGGCTTCTTCCTGAAGCAGAGCTTAAATGATGAGTTCTGCAGGGGGATGTGCCTGCAGGCTGAAGTGATCCTGCTTACCAGACTGCTGCTGAATTTGGCTCAGCCTGTGCCGTCCCACTTATGTGGAGCTGTACTGCTCACCTGCTAAAAATACAGTTACCATGTTAAAGAGGGAGAAGAAAGTTTCTGTGGGAATTTTGATGAAAAACAACTATGACCTCACACAGGTGAATTTCGATAACACTGCAGAGCAGTCATGAAGGATAGACGCCAGTAGGATCTGTTATTTCGGGCAGAAGAGGAAATCATAGCGAGACAAAAATATCAGAATGGAAGGCAAGGATGCAAAACAGCATTATCAGCTCAGGTGTAATTGAAGATGCATGTGGATGGAGATCAACACAGAAAGAGCAAAAATGTGACAGAGGCTGTAATGGAACTGAGGAAACTGAACAAGCTCCTGGAAGTTGTGGAGATAAGCTGTAGAAAATATCAAGCATCCAGACCCAGGCAGCAAAACAGAGCCAATGTCAGGAATGACATTTGGTTGAACAAACTAGATGTCAATATTATCTGTGAGACAAACTGGATGAAAGAAAGAGATTGCAGGACATCTGTGGAAATAGTGAGAAGGAAAACGCAGTAATGGTGTTGGAGGGAGGGATTTCAGAGGGCATGGGAGTTGAAGGGAAGTGTGATCTCTTCTGAAGCATCTGGTACCTTAGTATCCGAGACGAAAGGAGAAGGCCTAAAAAAACATGGCAAGGTTTGCATTAAGTGCAGATTATTTTTCCATCTTGAGACTCCTTTAATCTCTACTAACCACGGCAATTTTGTCTTTACTGAACACATATCTCTTCACTTCAGGTCTGAAGCCTCTTTCCACATTCACTGCCGTTATCCACGCAGTAACTCCCCTGGTTTCGCAATCTCAGCCTGTGCTGAAACTCCTGGTTGCTGTAGCCAAGTCCCAGTACTGTGCACAGGTAAGCAGCGCCGTCTGACTGTCAGTCACATTGGAGACAAAGCTACTAACCCAGGAGTGAAGAGCCTACTGACTTCAGATCCCCTCAGTCCTGTTTCAAACCCCTGTTTCAATTCTGGTGTTTCTTTTCTCTGAGATTTCTATTGTCTGTGACCTGTGTGTATGGGAAACAAAAATTCTGAGTATAGTGGGAGCGGAACAGGGACAGTAATTAAACCCCTTTGTTTCACAAGGCGGGTAAAATAATGACTGTACTTTAAAGATCAGGATTGTGTGTGCTGCAAGCTGCAAAAGGATGTCTGTGCCTCAAGAGCCCCTATGTGATCTTCCTTCCTCCTGCTGTGGCTCTTGGTCTCAGCAGTGCTAGGATTTTGGCTTCTCCAAAAGAAACCCTGAGGAGTTCAGGAGGAGCACGCTCTTGCAGTGGACTGTCACAAGTGGTTTAGCCTTTAATGAGAGCCAAAGTAAATCAGTGACATCCGCATAACCTGGGCTAGATAGAGACTTCCTGAGTTCCTGTCTAGCCTGTATTTGCTTGAGAGGACATATACTGTCAATAGTCAGGATGGGAGAAATTACTGTAGGAAGTGTTATTTTTATACAGATTTGTATCATTGTTGATTTTGAAATTCCTAACTTGAATTTAACATTTCTATCTGGACATCTGAGTCCTTAGGGTTTGGACTGCATTGCCACAAAGGTCTCTGATTCTCTTTCAGATTATTGTTTTATGGAATTGTGATAAACCCCTCCCAGCCAAACACCGCTGGCCTGCCACTTCTGTGCCTGTCATAGTCATTGAAGGAGAGAGCAAGGTAGGTGGAGAGAAGCACTGTAAAAGATTGCGTATATTCTGCAGTGGGACCAGAATTTATTTTTCCAACTGCTTTGGTGAAAGCTTTGTAGTTTCCAGTGATGTGACAGCTCCTTTCTATTCCTTGGTCCTTTGTACCAACTTGGTCATAGGTTGATCTTTCATGGATGAGGCCCCATGCTCTCAGAAGTCATCAGCACGGCTATTAAAGCGATCAATCTGAGATTCACAGGTGGGACTCGGTTTTGAAATGCAGCCCCAAGAGTAGGTAGTGCTGACCCCATCTTTGGAGGTTCCTGTCTCTCTGCAGGTGCATGAAGGTAGTGATGCAGCTGAATTAATTGAGTCTGATCCGTCAGATGCAAGACTTGGGGGTCAGCTGTGGACTCAAAAGCAGAGAAGCAGATGAGACTGAATAGTGTTAACGCACCTTTGAAAAGTACCTTCTTTCATGGCCATGTGGGGTACTGCTGCCAGTGGTGGGATCTCACCACCAAAAAAAAGGGACAAGGGACGCTTGCATGGGAACAAAACCACCATGTCATCTCTTGCTGTGCAACACACTTCTTTGTTTGCACTTCCACAAAGTCAAAACAGACACCACCCAGATGAGAAAAGAGGTGTTTTTTAAAATCCGCACTGAAGTGGACGATTCCTTTCCAAATGCAGGCCTGAGAGAAACAGGACTTCTTGCTTCTAGACTCTGACTGAGACAGTTTTGGGCTGGTCCCCTCTGCAATCTCTGTCAGCTGGCTCGTGAGCTCTGCATTTGCAAAGGGAGCTTTTAGTTGCTTTGGCTGTACGATCCTATTTGGAATTTGGTCTTTTTTTGTCCTTGACCCTGTTTGGTCTATTTTGTCTTTGGTCTTTTCCCCCAGTCACCTTAACACGGGGAAAGCGAGACTCCCACAAGGTTGGCAGCTAATGGTTCTTGCCTTAGCTAGCCATGTAGTAAGTATCAGGAGAGTTGCTGCAGAGCCAAGAAGGACTGCAGTGATTTTTGAGTCTTTTGAAGGTTGTAGGTTTTTTTTTCCTTTCTTTTTGGAAAACTTGTAGAGGTGAGATAGAGCAGAAAATCTATGAAAATCTCTGACCAGTTCTACAATGTTTGTAGAAATTGGCCCAGGCACTGTTTAGATTACAAATGAGTCTCCTGAGTACACAAAGGTGTGTTTATAGTGGACAGTCTCTTCCCTCTAATATCCCAACATATGCCAAATGGCTTCTTGCGTGGAAAAGCTGTTTGTTTGGACAAAGCTTGCAGAGCCAGAGCAGTGGAATTCAAAGGTTGCACAAAGGAACTGCTTTTCATCTTCAGATTTAACTGACGTATACTGACGGGCACAGTTACTCTGTGCAGGTGATCACAGAAGTTTGCCTTTACCTAACCTTCACTCTTCCCCATGAAATCAAGATACAGTCACACCCATTTTACAAAAGGAGGCTTTAACTACAAAAAAAAAACCAAACATGGGTAGTCCCGACTGTTGTCTTTACATGGTCTGTAAAAGAGCTGGGGTGACAACGCTGGTCTCCTGCTGGCTGCTTGCTCTGCTTTGCCTTTGTATAAGCAAAGCAAAGCCAGCAATCCCTGCCAGATCACCTCCTCCTCACAGCCACCGCCTCCCCGAACTGAGGCCGTCGTAGCGATGGAGGGAAGCTCTCCAGACAGACACTGAGAACCTCCTGGTAATAGAGACAGAGCCTTCTCTGAATTGAGGCATAGATTTAGGGACTTGCTTCCAAACAGTTTGCATGGGATGCAGAACTGACCATGTCCATTATGAGGGATGTGTAAAACTTCTCCATATCCCTGTTTCCATACAATTATGTCCTCTTACTGGGCCTGATTTTTGTAGTGTTTTCTTGGCATAATAAATTGGAAAAGAAGTCTACTAACTAGCCGGGATATTTTTCCTAGCAAATGAGGGAAACAAATAATGTTGTGCCCTTGTTACTGTTCATCAGTTCTCAAAAGGTGCTAATGAGTCTGCTAAAGAAACCATATGGATTCTCACTTCTTGCTGTTATCTTTTTGAACCCAGTTTCCCATCTACTTCATATTGCTCTGAGAACCGTCCTGCCATAGTTTTGAAAATCTTATTCCGCAAATAGATTATATACATATATAGTTATGTCACTTAAGAATGTGACTTTTTAAATTGCTACAATACCAATATAATCCTTGATGCAGGTGAAGCTCAGCTGATACTCACGTTCTTTAGCATATTCTCCTTTTCTGATGGAGAATGCTGCACCATTCGGCAGCAGCTCCCTGTGGATGCACTAGCGATGCACAGAGATGGAGCTGCACCGCTTTACAGGAGAACCATCCTGGTGGCATAACGTCCTTCACACACAGCCTGGACTGCTTGGCTTCCCAGCAGTGTAACCTTATGAATGCTGCAAAGTCCTTCTCAGTGTTCATTATCTTGATCCTCACACCCCATAGGAGGGCAGAGGGACAGTCCTACATACCAGGAAAAATGTCCTCCCTAAAAATGCTGTAGGACATCTAGTCCTCAGTACAGACCATTGCAGTTTGCCACAAAAGGAAAGCAGTCTGCTCCAAAGGAGGTCTGTTCGGAAGTTACTCTTCAGGTAGAAGGTGTAGGCTGGCTGCTGGGGTGATGAAAATTATAGTCTTTCACTCTTGAGCTGAAGGGTCCTTTCCGCCAGACAGAGATATGCGATGTGCCTCAGACAAGAGGAAGTAAGAATGAGGAATAAAATGGAGTATTTCTATGGCAAATGAGTCCTTCAAATGATTTTTTCCCTCCCCTTCCTGCCTTGGATACCCACAGGTTATGAGCAGTCGCTTCTTACCCTACGACAACATAGTGACAGATGCAGTGCTAAGCCTGGATGAGGACACCGTGCTTTCAACCACTGAGGTAAGGGTCTCTGTCGTCTTGGGAGTCTGCTTGGCTCCTTGGCTCTTCCCGAGCATGGCAGATAGGCTCTTCTCTTGGCTTTGCCAGTGAGCAAATTTTGTAAGATTTCCTGCTACGCTCCTCGGGGTTAGCACGCTGCACTTGTTTCAGCAACCCTGCCACTGCCTGCCATCAGAGGAGCTTTTCACCCTGGTTAATTGGCTCATCATTAGCATATGGTTCTTCCGTTCTTTATTATTTTAGTAACATAACTGCAGGCAGGTGTAGGCAGCCAAGAGCAGTTGGCTCTAATACTCTGTTCTCACTTTTCTTATTGGGGTAGCTTTCTCCCCCACACACGTTATCAGTAGGGTGTGGGTGGGGAAGGGAGGGGTGTCAGCAGCAGGGCACTGCTGTCACTCCAAAAGACAGCATTGCCACCCTAACACAGGATTTCACTGAGGAATGCTCTCACCATTCTGTCACGCCATAAAATTGGAGATCTTTGCTCGTTTAGGTGTTAGTGTGTTTGTGCCAAGAGCGAGATAGCGCTAAGAAAAGAAAAATACTGTAGAAAACCAATTTTTACAACTGGGATGAGTATTGATTTCTGGAACCTCTTCCTGAGAACCACAGGGGAAACTGATGACAGTTTATATAAAGTGCAATATTTGGGAAATACATTATTAATGATGGCAAGGGAATACCTTGAAAAACTCAATTTTCTTTTGTTTTCCCTTTTTTTTCCCCCCATGTTCATGGCCATTCCCTTCTCCCCATTTCACCTTTATAAAAATGTTTTTTTATCAGTGATGGGGTTCTTTCACTGTTGCTACTACTGCTTATGTGTCAGTGAAGAAATGCCTAATATTAGTCACTCGTCACTGCTATATACCCTAAGATGTCATCGAAATTGTTCTAAATGGATGGGATTGCAACTGCTCTTCTTCCCAGTATTTTGTTGTGCTGTGGTTAAGCGGTTCCAGAAGGAGCCATAGTAGCCCTCATCTGCTGCACAGATTGAAGAAGTAGTTGGCATTGAATCTATTTGATACCAAGGTTACACCTTGGTAGTTTCTGCTAGATGAGGAAGAATATGGCTGCTGCCAAAGTACTTCTGTTCAAAGCCCTGCACAGCCAAAAAAAACCCAAACCAATAAAGGACATTTGTCCTGGTGCTGGAGTTCCTAAGCAGGTTCTTGCTCAGGGTGAAGGGTCCTGTCTCAGCTGCCATGGTTAAGACCTCTGAGGGACTTCATTGCACTGAGGTGGTATTTGCACTGAGCCTGTGGATTCTGTGAGGATGTGGGGCTTTGTTTTGTTTTGATTGGTATTTAGTCATCATCCAAACTTTGGAGTCATTCAGGCTTCAGGAATGTGTATGAAATAGTGTTTCTCATTCAGCTTGGCCGTGCTTTACTCTAAACATTCTGAAACGCAAGTATTTGTTGTTGTGTGAGACAACATACACATTTCTTTATGGCTTCTTCCCTCCTGTGAGCAGCTTGCAGCTGATATTGCATGTTTGCGCGGTGGGTATTGGCTCTATGAGCCCCGTGGCCGCCGTGCTGTGGAGGGAACCAGCTGGCCAGCCCTCACCGGCACCCACCCTGCGGCTTCAGCGTGCCTGTGCCAGGGCGCCGGGGTCAGAGGCTTTCTTCAGTGGCTTTCTATGAAGAACTGGGGCCTTTCTATCGCTTCAGTTCCCCCGTCGTATGGCTTACGCAAAGAAGCAGCGCTTTGAAGCACTGACCTGAAACGCCTGGTATGAAACTTCCCTTGAAACGGACTGCTCGTGGGTGTTCGTTGTGGCAAAGCTTCAGGGCCCAGAGAAGGCAATTCAGAGACGTTGTCAAACATGATCACATTCCTGTTGGGAGGAGCAGTCACCAGGCAGATCTTCCGCTCTCTGGCATAGTAAAGGTTTCCCATTCCCAACAGAACGGTGCATAATCGCCCTTGTGAGACGAGCTGTGTCACACGCACGGAGGGATGTTTGTGGGGGAAGTAATTAGACATCAGCACGGGTCAGAACTGATACGGGGGTTTAAGAGACTGGCAGCCTGGTTGGCTTTTCCTGCTGTTCAACTGAGTGATAATGCTGCTAAAAATTATATAGGATAAGGACTGGTTTGGGTTTTTTCAATAAAGGGAGTTTTCTCGGAGGGTGGTTGCTTTAGTGTGTCTCACTGGTACAAGGACAGATACTTGAAAGCACAAGTGAGGGCACTGAGTGCAGCTGCTTTATTACTTATTTAAGTTTGAGATTCTCAGAGTTCTCTAAAGAAAACAGATGTCACGTTTTATGGGAAAGGCCTTTACAGGGGGGAAAAAACCTTTAGTTCTTTCATGTGGTATTGATTTGGATGAGATCAGAACTATCACAACGGTAACTGGTTTGTGCACATTGTCTTTCTAGTTGGCCTCAGATTCCTTGAAACAACTTGAAAGAAAATAACCAGTCCCTAACTTTGTGTTCCAGTACATGTGCGACTCTTCTGTTTCATAAAAACACTTGTAAATGAGAGAAGTCTGACAGTGATCACACCAAATGTGACCGTTCTCAGAGCAGCTATTCATTATCTAACCTCTACACCCTTGACTTTGACTGGGTTCTTGGGAGGTTTTTCAAGCATTTTTGAGCAAAGTTTTAGGTCGCTCTTGTACTGGAGGGAACTTGGTGTGCAGTGCAGAAGCAAAGCCCGTTTTTTCTTGCATTGGACTGGAACAATTAGAATTATCTTTACCTCCTTTTAAAATTTTGGTCTAGCTTGAGCTCCAAAACCTAAGTTGAAGTGAAGGGACTGCCAACCAACTTTACAGTGATAAAAATCTTTCCATACATATTTTTACCAAACTCCTTTCAAATCTAGTGCTGACGAGCCTTCTGCAAACTACCCAAATTGTCCCTTTTCTGGTGTCACCAGGATTTGTTGGTGGGATCCTGGTGTAGCAATGTCCTGTCACCTTTTCGGTTCTCAGGGATTTGAGTTATTAAAAAAGTTACAGCAAGAAAATACCACACACACACACCCCGCTATTGACAGCATTTGACATTTTCTTGTGGCTCATACAGTATCAGCATTTTCTTAACATATAGGCTTCTAATGCCATTTAACTATATGGAGATCTTTTCTTCCTTTTTATTACGCTATATGTTTAAGCCGCTCAGTCACATAGGCAATCTTAACAGTGTGACCTGCATGGTCTTCAAAGGCTCAAAATGGATGGAAAATATAAAAGGACTCGGCATTGATTGCCTGTTTTAATCTCACTGAGCAACCCTTACAATTTAAGGTGTTTGACTCCTCATTTTCCAAGCTTTGTGTTGACAGTACTGAAATGGTAGGTGAGATGCACAAAGATGTGCAAAAGGTTCAGTTTACCACATAGCTATTACCACCCTGTATTGCATCTAAGTATAAATATGTGCACCTACTCCCATTCTTTCTGTAACTCGAAAAGGTTTGATATGTAAAGGGCAAGCTTGAAAATGTTAATGTAATGCTGTGATGCTGTAGACTCTCTTTAACAGGAACCATTAAAATGTGCATAATTATAGGGCAAAATGTCAAGCAGTCAGTTTAATTTACTGATGAATACATAGAATTAATGTTTTGCAACAGTTCCAAGATTTTGAATTACGAATTAGTGGCAAGGTAATATTTTGTTTTGTTGACATTTGTTGAAACAATTTCAGTATTCATTTGGCCTGTGCCTTTGTCTGCAGGTGGATTTTGCCTTTACAGTTTGGCAGAGTTTTCCAGAGAGGATTGTAGGGTACCCTGCTCGCAGTCACTTCTGGGACAACACTAAGGAGAGGTGGGGGTATACCTCCAAATGGACTAATGACTATTCCATGGTATTGACAGGAGCTGCTATTTACCACAAGTAAGAACCCAAAGCATGTGCTGTCCTCCTTCTGTGTGAAGCAAAATAGTAAGGGGTGGAGGGGGAGATGAAGAACATTCTTCTGGGGAGGGGAAAAACTGGAAAGATAATAAATGGGTCTACTTTTTATGGGGTAATAATTTAAGTTCTTGGTTTAGCTCTGGGGATCTGGTAATCATTATTGCGCTTGTTGGGTCTCTTTGAAGTCACTTGTATTTTGAGGCAGTCGGACTGCTCTTTTTAACATCAGGAATTACACACTTCAAAGAGTTCCCGAATTCATTAAGCTGCTCGGCTGAATGGCCTGTAGCATAGCAGAAAGGAGGTTACTTCCAGACCAGCTCTGGGTATGTGTTGGCTGACGGCTGCAGACTGCAAAGTCTTCTGGCTACTCTAGAAATGTAGTGCAGTGGACACGTCACAGATCAGCATACTGTAGCATGTAGGAGAGAACCCCTGTTGTTGGGGCTTCATCAGACCAAAGACCTCTCTACATTTTCGAAGAAAGTCAGCAAATTCTGGAGTATCTAATCCACATCCCCGCAAAGGAGAAGACTGGCCCTAGGGGATGATATAGGCCCAAAGGAGAATGATTTCAACAATAAGGACAGTAGTAGGCCAGTTTGATAGAGTTCCCTCCAATGGAACAGTTTTGAAAGAAGAGGTGGAGGATGAATTCATCAGTGTCACAATATCACACTATAGCAAATGTGGGGTGCTCTTTCCTGCTTCTCCATTATCTTGATACTTAGGTCTGCATTATTTCTTTCAACCCACTTACAGAAAAGCCATATGTTTTGTTTTTCCATTAGCACTATTTACTGTCTTGATGAGATACTCATTTGTTCTCCCTTCTTGTTGGAGGATGAGACCAAAGAAAGGAAGTGATATATCCTGAGTTGAGTAAAAAACTTGTGTCTCAACTGAGACAGAAATTTCCTCGAATTTATCATCCCCGAAAGCCCAGTGACTTGTATTAATAACGCTGCTCTTGGTTTCCAGATATTATCACTACCTGTACACTCATTACCTGCCTGCCAGCCTAAAGAATATGGTGGACCAACTGGCCAATTGTGAGGACATTCTAATGAATTTTTTGGTGTCAGCCGTGACAAAATTGCCTCCAATCAAAGTAACACAGAAAAAACAGTATAAGGAGACCATGATGGGACAGGTATGTATCCACAGCATGTTTTAGCAGTTGGGATGTATTGATAATACAACAATTTGAATCCTAGGTTAGGTTTACAGAGTGATACAATTCTGTCAATTTTTTTTGCAGTTTTTAGTTTAGCAGAACTGTAAATAGACTTTAGATATGCTTATTGTAATGAAGTAAAAGGAGAAATGGCAAACATCTACAGTGGATGACAGCTTCTCTTCGTACTTGTCTCACACGGTGTTATTCATGGTGATCCCACACTCATGGAACTGATGATTGTGGTGACCAAATTTCAGTTATACTCCATTTTTCTAATTAAATATTCTAGACCTAAGACCTAGCCATGGAATGCTAGAAGGAGAAGTAAATTCTAGAAAGATTTTCTATTTTTAATTATTATTAATTAATATAATGTACCAGGCCGTCCCTGTGCTATTTTAAAGCATATAGTGTGATTCAAGCACTGACACTGCACTGTCACAACAGAGGTAATTTGTGATATTCAAGCGTTTTTTCCCATAAGGAACATTTTGTCCCACAGTGATGCCATCACTCACTAGCAGCCAAGAAATGCTTGCTTTAGAACCTCTTCTAGCTACTGGATAAGCACTCTCTCATTGCAGAAATGGATATACCTGCTGGTAACAGGGATACATGGTTACCTGGGGGCACTTTTCCTCCTGCCCTGTGTGAGAGAGCAATGGGAGGAACAGCAAGTCCTGCAAGACCTGCAAGTCCTAAGCAACCTCCCATCTGTGCTTGCCGTGGTGTCTGTGATCCTCACTACAAACAGTACCATGATTACTGGCGGGCAGGAGAAAGAAAGGGCCCTCTATTTTCCCCTCACATTTTCTTCTATTAGCATTACTTGGATCTTTGACTGGGGAGTGGCCATGCCAGTTTGTAGACTCCCTTATCTGTATGCCACTGCACTTTCATCTGAGATATATGAGCATTCAGCAGTTCTGACTCACCTGGGTACCCAGGGGACCTTCTGTGAACCAGAAGGTGCCATCTAGAAAGTACCTATCGCTTCCAGTTTGAGTTTCACCTCTCTACAGGGACATGCTTTGGCTCTTTGGCAAAGTCTGGACATTCATTTTTCTTTTTATAGCGCGGGTGACTTGAGTCAGCCATGAACTATAACTGTCTCCTAAAGACAAGTTGTTCCTGCAGCTCTGGGAAATGTAATAGACCATGTTCATAATTCCTTGAAAGACAAATAAAAAATTAGCATAACCTCAAAGTTGTGACAGAGATTAATAGTCGTATGGAAATGCACTGTTAATGGCCAGAATGTCTGCTATAATCCTCTAGCAACAAGCTTTTGCTTGCTCTTTAGTGGCTCGGAATAATCAAGAGTCTGTAATCAATGCACATTATAACCTACCACTTGAGCTAAACTGGACAGGCCTTGGGCAAAGATCAGGTCTGATACCACATTAATTTGGCAAGTCCCTGTCTTTATCAGTTTCTCCATGTTTTAATTAACATACTTTGAGTTTATGAATTCGTACTTGTTTTTAAATTATAGTGGAAACATGAGTGCTATAGAGAGATGCATCAGAAGTAGCACCAAAAACCCCTTAGGTTCTCAGCATTCATCTCTTACCTTAAATAATAGTGTTATTATGTTTGTAAATGTAGTTTAGGTAGAGATAGAGCATAATAACTGCTTCAAAGCTGGTAGGGCCTTATTTTTCCAGAGGTGCTGAGTTTCAATGGACTTGCGTAGGAATTACAGCCCTGAACGTTGGCAAATCGGGCCACGGTGTTTTGCATATATGGCTCAGAGTTCAACGCGATGTAATGTTGAGCTTCAGTTAATTTTCTCTGTCCATAAGACGGTACTGTCTTACGCACTGGCCGCGGCCGGTGGGATTCCTGGGAGCACCCTGCTTTTCCCTGCAGGACATCTACACACGAGTGATGCCAAGCATCTAAGGACTTCTGCTGAGCTCTTACAAGCTGGTTGAAATTACTTGTGTATAGATTTCTGCATCTGGACTGCAAAAGCGTGGTTTTGACCTGAGAAACTGTAATAATGGCAGCGTGTTTTCCTCCAGCGGCTGAAGGCCATGGGCAGCTGGCCTGTGCTTGGATGTGCTCCTCTAGTGAAAAGTGGTGGCCGCCTTCTCTTTCCTGGTGCTTTTTAAGGACTTGTTCTGTCTCTGAAAGAGCTTGAGGGTTTGAAAACAACCAAGAGTGAGGGATAGGGTGAGCGGTGTGCTGGCAGGCTTTGGGAGGCCTGCTCCAGGCCGGGCTGGCTCATGGTCGAACTCGGGTCACGCTCCGCACTGCCCTCAGCCCCTTTTGAGAGTCAGGGGTGGCCAGCTCGCCATCGCCGGCTCCCGCTG